TCCAAGCGTATAATTCTTTCTGATTTCAAAAAGCTTTTTTCATTCCAGTCGGGTGTGTTCAAAGTCATAACTAGTCAACAAACAACAGTGCACACACACATACACTCAAAAAGCATGAGAAGTGAATTATTCTGAATTGAGACTTTAATTCGTAAATTCTATCGAAGCTCTCAAGAGAATGAGTGAATGAATGTGTGCTCTTGCATCTCATCAAATTCTCAATTAACATTCTTTTCGCTATCAGCCGAGTCTGTCAATTCATCATTTCTTTCCTGTTCTAATGAGTTAGTAAAGCTACAATTGTTATACAAAAGGAATGGAAACTCGAGGAAGTGTGACTGTTTGTCGAGCTAGCAAAAACGAAACCTTTCATCAGTTTCTATGTACATAAATCAAAGTCAACGATATTATTTGTATTGAAATGAAATGAATTTACTTCTTTTTTCAGAACATTTTCACATCAATCGAACTACTCAAAGGCATACTTTTCAAAAAAGCTCGAACAAATATTCATCACCGAAAATTGACTGCGCTCTGTCTGTCTATCCATGTGTGCTAAATTATCAACATATAATACCTAAATGAATATAAAATTAAACAATTTAAATATATGTATATGTATGCCTACTTAAATACATATGAATATATAAATATCAGTGTGTATAAATATCAACTATAAGAACATACTAAATGTATTTCAACATAAATATTACGATTATAAGCAATTGAACTAGCTTGTCTAAATTGTGTTTGTTAGTCTCATGTGATAATTTCATTTGTAATCATGATTTATTATGCTATATGTTCAATGATTCGCGGATGACAATTAAATCAATTCAACGAATAAATTCAAAAGAAAGCATCGATCTGATCATTATATAATGCACCCTCATTCTCAGCGATAACACACAGTATTTATTCATCCATGCAGCAAAATATACCCTTTGAATGCTGACGATGATATATATGTTTGTGATGATGAATCATTTTCGAGTATTATATTGTTCGGAAGAAATGTTCTTTGTGATTATTGCTTCTGCTGTTGATTACTAACAACATTTCAGCACATTCAACAAATGCGTTGTGTTGCATTTCGACTGCAGTACATCATCTCATCTCTTGCTCTAAATCAATCTGTTATATGACATATTCAATCTTCACGATGAAATCATCAATCTCAACGCTAAACTATCTCAATTACTCGCGTTTTATTCGATTAATACATGGGATATATGGGAGCTTTTATTACTACAATCAGAAGAATGCCGACCGACAACACTGGACTGAACACTTAATGAATTCTATCAGCGATATTCAAACTTCTTATTTTTTCACTGATTTTTGTTCAGAACTTTTCAAGTTTCCGTATCAAAATGATGGCTTGTTCGCGTGATTGATTGATTGATTGATTGAGGCGAGATTACCCACGAAAACCACTGAAAAACAAATTCATTTTTCACAGAGTTTTCAGTGTGAACGAGCATTTCGCGTTCTCTGCAACGCTGTGATGGAAAAAACCTGTTGAAGACTGAAATGCTTGATGCAATAATCACACATGAGAAGCTTTTTATGTTGTCATGAGTTTTATTGATTTTTAAAATACGTCCTTTTGGTCTTACACACGATTACATCCGTATTGCATTTGCCATTTGTTTATTGTCTACGAAACAAATTCCGTTTCTCACTATATTTCTGTTTATAGTTAGCTTCCCATAGGTGATTTTGCCTTTCATTTCAGGGTTCCATCATTTTTCCGTTTTGCCGTTAATTTCCAAGTTTTCAAACTTCATCAGAACTCATTGCTTCATTCAATGAGTATGTTAATCTTTTGCATACCGAGAAACCCAATTCAACAGGATTATTGAACATCCAACTTTTAACCACTCAAAGAAGTGTACGAATTGGTACCGTTTCAGACAGTACCAAAAAGAGCCGAAAATCAGCCGAAAGCTTGACATTCTCATGAAAAAATGCATTCATTGCACTTCAGAATTTGAATGTCACTTATTCATTGGGTTATGCGAGAATGTTTTATTCGCATAGCAGTTATTCAATAAGCACTATCAATGAAAATAATGCCAGCAATATAAGCATTACTAGTAATAATACCGCTGATATGAATTCACTGATAAAATCACCATTCTATTATGCCGACAGTAATCATTGAAGCGATCATAATAGCAATGCCATAATGTTGAATTAAAACTGAAATCGATCTGAAGTTTGTTTGTTAATTTTCCGCAGCAATAAAACCCAACGAAATGATGCAAATGTTTGCTTCAAGCTCATCTGAATGCAATTATTTTCGTGGATAATTTACGCAATCTTAGGAATTTCTCCACTTTCTTTTTCGTTCCATTCATTATTTTCAAACATCGTTCATGTTCACAGTGCTACATTCACAAGAGTAAATTCACAGTTGCTGTAATTCGAAATTCGTAATTAGTGTCATTCATTCAAATCAACCAATCAACCATCGTTGTGCTAAAGTAGTGTTACATTCAATCCAGTTGTGCTATAATCAAACACAGGATTATATGTGTTCGAAAATGATTAAAAAAACCTATTTGATTTGAAGAATAATCAAAAATTTTTCGTTTTCAGGATTGTATGTGATCAATGCTTCTTCAATCAGTCGTCAAACGGAATGCCTGAAGGACTGTCACCACAACGAAAACCGATTCCACCGCCTCGTCTGCCTCAAGGTTACAAACCACCCCTACCGAAACGTCCCGATCGAATACTTCGAACTGGAGCGTTGCACCTTCCACCTCCAGACACTGCTCCACCACCACGACCTCCACCACGACTTACTTGTACTAAAGCAAAAAATACGGCCGAATCAAGCATCAGAGCATCTTCGAACAGCCCAACGGTTCAATTATCCACGTCAGTCGATTCAACCAGGTTAGAAGCGATCGTAGAATCGCCGCAACTTGACGAGGATTCGGATGCTGGAGATGGCATCGAATCCTCACAAATCGTCAGTCATTCTCCTTCACCACATCGATGTTTGTCTCCGCGGTCTCCACCTAAATGGCCTCCACCAGTACCTCAAAAGCCGAAGCGTTTATCAATTCCAAACAGTTCCGATATGACATCTTCATCAGAAATTACCGAGGCAGCTGTTATCGGCTCAAATGTTCCAAATACACCCCTAACATTTGATAATGAAATGTTAAAACCATTGCATCCAGTCGCCACTTCATCTGCTGGTTCATCATCCGGTGAATACAATCATGCTTTTGAGGATGCGCGATCAGCAAGCCCGAATTTATACACTCCATTGCCCTCCCAACCACAGTCGCCAGGTTCCGCACCTCCCAAGCCACCTCGCTCACAATTGCTAGAGTCGAAACCCTCTCCGCCTCCACATACGCCAGAATCTAAAAAATCATCAGAATCACCAACACGTTATTCAACACCATCCGATATTTTAGCCGAATCCCTGCAAAGCTCAATGAATATTTCTTCGTATTCGAATGAGCATCAACCGTACCAAATTTCGTCTCCATCGAAAAGTGTTTCTCCGTCACTGCATTCTTTAGGCAAACAATCTTCTCAACCTTCGATCAGTGCTGATCTCGCAAACGATCGAACTTCATCGTGTTCAATCGAGGCGGATGAGGATGGCGATAACAATAATCCTCATTCGGATGCATCGTTACTTTCAGATTCTGAAGCGATTCCGTATTATTTACGAGCATCAAAATCACCACACTCCAATTCTGCATCTATTTCATTACTAGATAAAGTTGTAGGTGATCCATTGCCCACAGCTAACATTCATCCGTATTTCACTCAAACTGCACAAATGCCAATCACAAACTCATCAACAACTCATCCCGCAGCTTATTCAAATGATCTTATAAATTTTTGTGATGAAGGCATTTCAGTAATTGCTGAAAGAGACCTTTCTCGAAATGAGCAAACAACCAAACAAGTTGATTCAAATCAGTTCAACCAAATACGTTATCAGTTCTCGCCAATGTCATCCTCAACAGAAACTCATGATGAGGAGGAATCTCACTATGCAAATTTACCGTTATTGAATGTAGCTTCAATTGAAAAGTATGAAGCAAATGAAAACAGCATCGTCAACGATGAACGTCGTCTATCGGCCTCATCAGTTTTCAAATCCGGAATACCTCAGCCACCGTCCAGTCCACCACCGGTTTCGGTTCGTCCAACCGAATTCGGACGGGAACTGCGAAATATTCTCGATACATCCATCGAACTGCCGGATCCTGCTGAACAAACGTCGTTCGGCTTAGAGGAGGGTCCGAATGGAGGCATATGGAATCCTGGTTATATAGGGCTAGAGAGCTATCGAAAACTTGTCGAAGCATCACAGCAATATATACCCAAGAAACAGTAAGTTAAATTTTCCGTTGTGTAATTCCAGATCGATTATGAATGATGATTAATTGAGCTCAAATAGAGCATAGGCAAAAAAAATCGTCAAATGCAGTTCGTGTTCCATTTAGCTCATGCAAAGTTCTGATTCCGAATATTACCAAACAAGGAATTTATCTGAAAATTTTAAGCATGAAACTAATTTTCAAGCTATCAACCGATCGAAAATCCTATATCTCTCACTGTTCACTTCGAGTTTTGAGGCATTACATTAATGGTATTATCATAAACTATTCATGTGTAGTTATACGGATGATTTGATCGCATACACTCCAAAGAAACCCCAATTGTTAGCTCAAATTGAAGGCCTGCAACTGAAACTGCAACCAATGCCCCGCGTATGAAATCTACTGGCACTGTTATGTCGTCGAACTTCGCTGGTCGGAGGAGCGAGAGTGATGAAGCAATCGATGGTGTGGGAACAGAAGAGATTGTAGCCGATGGTGAATCGATATGTTTATCAGGATATCTTCATGTGATGTTCAATAAGAAAGATCGAGGCAAACACTGGAGCGTTCTTAGGTCCAATCAGCTCACATTCTATGCTAACGAAGACGAGGTTCGTCTCGGAAACTTTCATTAATCTAATGCATTAACACACTTCCACATCAACTAAATGCACTTATTGCAGTAAGAAATTTATCATCCCAAATTGCTACCTTATAGTTTTATTCCGAATAATATTCATTCACAAGACTGGATATGCTTTACAATATCTGATGGCGCTCACAAATGTTTGATCACATCGCCCATCATTTGATCGTGAGACAAATATCTACAAATACCTTCGAATACCCGAAATTTGAAACTTTCTTCTTCAATTTGCAGTCACATTATGTTCAGAATCGTTAATATCTGTAATTTAGCTCGTAGTTCTCTTCCTTAAACACTGCCAATATACTCAAAAGTATTCAAGCATTACACATCACCCAAGATGAAGAACTGCGTATCATTGTTTCTGATCAGTTTGATCAACGATCCTGTTGAATCACTGTTGATCACGAGCACTATCATTTAAGCAATCTTGTGCAAAACGATGATTGAAACTTCACAATAATATCAGCAAATTACTATCATATTTCTCGATTCAGTTGAATCACAACATTAAACTGTTAACGAAATCTTCAGTTGCATCGAATCGTATGAATCATTTCAGATTTACATTCAGTGTGTAACATGTGAAGTGTTGATGTTATTGCTATTGCTACACTTTAAAGATATAGTGAATTCTAAAGTTCATGTAAACACATGTAAAGATTTTGTTTAGTGCCATTCAAATTTCTGATTGCGATAATCATCACGGATTGACTCGTGTTTTCCACGCTGACTCATATTGCATTTTGTGTTTTTAAAATATCTTCCACGAGACTTCTCTTCAAATTTATGTGCATATACGATTACATATAATATATTCACAGTCAGTCAACACTGAACAGCACCTAATTGGATTACGGATGAATGAGACTGCATTTCGATTATCCTACGATTAAAATCAATCACTCAGTATAATTTCACTCAGCACAGAGTTCACCTCACTGTTCTCCTCCTTTTAAAATATAATCAGACAGCGCTGTCTATCTTATTGCGATCACATCCATCAGTAGTCTAATCATACTTTGTTAAAATGTTCTCTTTGACGAGCTGAAATTGTNACTGCCTGCATCACGTAACGACTGGTCAAGTTAAAATTTCTATAAATCAGCGGTAATTTCAGGTTGACGAGCCACTCTATGGACCGTACGATCTGAGCACAGTGACTTACGTTGGTCGTTCGGCGCACTCGCCGAGTGTTATCAATGTTTATTTGAAAGAAAATGCTATGTGTTTACACTGGAATCATCTAAAACTTACCACCGAGGATGAGCGCGCCGCTTATTGGGTGCTTCTTTTAGCCAAGGTTTTTTTTTTGTGTTGAGCAATATTTATCTTCTTTCATAAGTTCATTTTTATCCATTCAAAAGGCGTTCGATTGTAGTGAAAACTGGTTAATCGAATGAGGAGGCAATTTCAACGAAAACTAAACAAAATAATCGAATCATCACAAAACCTCTCAACCAATCTATTTACATTATCCGAAAATTATCGAATCATCCACATTTAACTCTGAGTTCATCGTGCACCCACATTCTGTCGCTTCACTCTTCCTATATTGTGAGTTGCACAACAACTGAAAAAAAACGTTTCGTGCCGACTGGCACCACAATCGACGATAAAATGTGAGATTTGAGAAGAGACTCAGCAAGAGCAGATTGTTTCCGGTGAATGACTAGGGATCTGAGAGTGCAATAGAGTGCTACCAACCAGCCAACCCACCACATATCGACTTATAATTGAACGAATGCGATAATCCTCAGTTAAGTGAGATGAACTACGAACAGTGTTTGACTCTGAAGGTCATTCGAGTTGATTGCCACAGAAGTTTGAAACGTTCCTGTGAAATTCGGTGAAGTGTATTTTGTCATCTGATAGTTTTCAGTTAGGATCCGTTTGTAGTTCCACTCGCTCGCGAATTGAGAGTAAATCTATGAGCGTTGTCGATATTTTCAGTGTTTTATGCCGAATGATGATACTGTGAAGTATACTGTACGAAATGTAGATGCAGCAGGTCGCGTTTGGATTCGACAAGGTGCCACGTGCCCTTGGTCAAAGGGATGGATGCATCTTTACAAGGTTGTGAACTTTTTGCTGTTATCTCGAATCGTTGATCAAATGAATGCAAATACTTCCTATGGATGTGACTGCTTCCGTTTCATTTTACCAGCGATTCATTGCATTGCATGCTCGGTACAAAGACAACTTCCAAAACATCATTGAAACAAACCGACTGATTCGTTTCATTCTCTTCAGCGAAGGCTCTTTTACGTATTGGATAATTGTGCGATTTTATTCGAACTTGACGTGCGAAAGTTTATCGCTATGAAAACCGATGTGGCTAAGGTGGATTGGTGTGCGTCTGTGATAGGCTCACAAAAAGGACCGTTTTTGCTGACTCAAGATGGAAGGTGAAAACTTCCTCCAGTTTTTTAAAAGTCTTCCCTTTGCCCAATGATGATGCATTTTCGAAGAAAATTGATTGATCAACTTTTCAGTTTACACAAAAATCCAATTCATTATACAAAAACTTCTCTTTTGTAAGCTTACAAAAATGATGAATTTTTCGTCAATGCGGCGAATTCGTCATTCATACTCTCATCATTGCAAAAGAAAATGTTTGCGAAAGATCTGTTCTGTTTTTCTAAAATTTCTTGAGGAATTCGACTGACGCAGTAACGATGTTTTGTTCCACTTTAAGAATGCCACCAATTAATGGCCCACTTCAAAGCAATGATGCGTTTTATTGCGTGCTCTTTTGCTTTACAATGTTTATTTCGCAACAAATTTCGCGATTTTTTTCTCATTCACATCAAAACAAAAAGTGAAACTTGAAGTGAAACGTCTTTCCACTTCGCTAATCCTCATCAATTCGCTAAGAGTGAATCAATGCAAACTGGTTCTTCAGAAAGACGTTTCGCGCAAACATTCTTCAAATACTTTTGTTGATACTTTCTTTTTTTGGTTTTCTTTTATTCGTTTCGATCTCATCGTATCAGCGCTCTTCTTATGTATTGTGATCGAAAATTTTTCAATTAATTTTCAACACACTTTTTCCCCGGAAGTTTCATTTTGAATCATTGTGAAATCCTGATTTTTCGGGATTGACTAAGCACAAGCGATCGTACGCTTTTCTTTATAAAAATCGTAATGAAATGATTGAATTTTAGTTGGCCATATATGTGGTGCCTCGTTTGGTTGCTTTGCCGCAGAATTTCGACGATAACTTCAAATTTCATGAGATTGAAGTTGTCATTCTCCCGAAGTTATTTAATTCTTGAAACGTTCACTGTTTCAGCTCACTTTACGTTCAGTCAGAATGTGACTCCATAACGACGTTGTGGTGTGAGGTTATCTCGAATCAAATGCAATGTGTTGGTGCCAAAATAGAAGATCACAAATTGACTGCTGATGATATACCAATTATTGTTGATAAGTGAGTTAAAGCCGAAGTTACGCCTACTTGTAATGTTCCTATATCTTCTCAGCACTGAGCGATTCAATCGGCTCAGCTATGGTTGGTTTCCAAGGATGCTGGGTGGTTTCAATGGTACCGTTTTATGCTGGCAATAATCACACTCATGTGACTGGTTGATACGCATAGAGATCTTCGTTGTCGTCCAGCCGGAATGAATAATTCATTGATTCACTTCCCAAGAGAATTTCTACGAACTTGTCTGTTTGATTGCTGTTAGCTATTCGAATCAGCGACAGCGACGTCAGATGAATAATTACAGCGGAAGCTATGCACTGCGAGAGAGCAGTAATTACTTACGAGACGATCAAATTGACTGTGCCATTGATTGTTATAATTTGGAAAGTTGTTCTGGTCTTAATTCGAAAACTTTAGATGTATAAAATATATCTCAACTTATGGGCTCTATCAACCGGGTTTATATCGACGTAATGGTTCCACTGTTGAAGCACGATTGCTTATGGATGAACTGAAAAGAGGCAAGTCATAGTCTTCGGATTTTCGTGTTGCTCTGCAATAGTGCGTCCGGTAGAGTGCTGAGAATCTTTTTGTAGGACATTATCTGAAGTGTGCGTTTGAGCTTCAAATGACCTCTCTTGTACTCCGTTAGATTCGAATTGTATGCGTATGCATCTCAAATATTTGATTTACAATTCACATATTCAGACCCCATCAATGTTCATATTACACCGACGTCGGATGAAGTCGTTAATGTCGTGGCTGATGTGTTGCGCTCATTCTTTCGTCACCTCGAATCGCCTTTGATACCGTGCTATATGCAAGAACGCTTGTTTGCTATTGCAGAAATCAAAGGTTGGGACATATTCCAAGCTGTGGACAATTTTCTGAATAAAATGCTGTTGATCGATCACTAGTTGAATCAAACACAAGTGGAGATATGAAATGGGAGCACCTGAGATATATGATAAAGCCCAAGCTTCATGTGTTTTTGTAATCCAATCCGAATCAATTCCTTACAACGTTAACTTTTTCAAAAAGGAATGCTGAAGTGTCACAATATTTAAAAAAATAGTTGAATATGTGGAAATTTTCAGATTCTTCAAGGCTAGACGAATACCATGAGGTGTTGATGAGTCTGCCGCGAGTTCGTTTGCAAACATTGCGGCGTTTGTTGGATCATTTGAAGGATGTCACTGAACACGCTAACGCTAATCTAGCAAGCATTGAGAATATTGCACAAATTTTTGGACCAACCATATTCGCTGTAGATAAGGTATTCATGGAGTTGATGTTCCTCGTGTGAAATTCAATTCAGTATTCGAATTTAATGTTAGCCTGGTGTCCTGATGTCCTTGGAATATTTTCTGAACCGAAAGCATTTTAAAATATTCAGAGATTCAAAAGTTTATAAGAATTTTTAGTCATTGAATTGTTCAGAAGTATTCCAGAATGAAGAGAATCGTGAGTTCCGAGGCTACGATACGATGGGCGAACAATCGAGAGTTCTTCGAGACCTTATACTCCATTATACGACCATCTTTCGGGTGTCACTGCGTGAGATGCATGCAAAATCAAAAATT